AGAAAGGAGCACAGTGGTAATGTTTGACTCCGTACTGTTCCAGGACCGTGAGGGCTGTAAAGGGGTGGTTGTCGGTTATGATGATTTTAGGGAAACCCATGTAAGGCGCCCATCTCGTCACAAACAAATGTACTGCCGCATCCGTCATGCCATCCGGTGAAAACGCCGCGACCAGGTATCGGGTGGCGTGGTCGATAATGACCAAGATTCGACTGCAATCGGATCCGTACTTGTCCATGACTGAGCCTGTGCGTCCAGTCCCATCCCCATGTCAGGATGTTGTCCGGGGCCAATTGTTCGAGCGTTGGCCCTGGCTGCCGCGTGTCGTGTTTGTCGAATTTGAAGTCGGGGTGGTCGCAAAACAGGACGTCGTGGCGTCCGATGGCCCGATAATATGGGATAAATCCCAGAGCGCTTTCGCTTTGGCGCGGTTTGCGCGTGGTAGTGAGGTCTGGAGCGGCCAGACCTGCCGTTAGCAGGCGCGGATTCTAGTAGTCATCAAGATCGTGAACCATGCTGAGAAACTTTCAGGTCACCCACTGCGTCTCTCTTCGATTGCTTTTCGGCCCCAACTTTTTTTTACTGAATGTGGAAATGTCAGGGGCCTTCATCCGCCCAGGCGTGTAGGATGAAGGTGTGTCAATCCTCGCTGACCAGTGCGTGGGGGCTCCTTACGGCCCCGACGGCCGTCGACACGTGAAAGTCTCTGTTCGGCCTGACTCACCTCGTTCCATGCGTTGGTTCCATGCGTTGGTGCTCGCAGCCCTTTTTCGAGAGGCTAATCCCGCACGTGGTCTTGGTCGGTAACCTCGGACAGCCCCCTAGTTACCCGTTCGTAAAAAGTCCCTCAACCCATAGCAAGCAAACGGTCAGACTGGCCCCTCTTATTGTTAACAGCATGACTGACCCCGAAGTCGTTGTCCTAGTTGGACTTTTCCGACGGTGGAGCCTGTCCTCAACAATAGCCTACTAGGCGACATGGCGTTGCACTGCTTGCGTTGCAAGCCGGCGCTAGTTTCAGCGGGTTTTCCGAGTGTTAGAGATAGAGCTATACGTCGAACCGTCGCCAGCCATGGCAGGGAACTGTAACGGAATGGTCGTCGGTGGCGTCAACTACAAGGTACGGAGTGTCCAAGTCTTCCTCCAGCTCGCCCAAGTCTTGATCTCCAAGACTCGGTGGTCCAGAGTGGTCAGAAAGGGATATTGGTCTTGTTACAAACATCCCCAAACTGGTGGCTAACTCTGTCGGCATTTCAGCATCAGATACCACGCCACATTGCAAGCATGGCTCGGTCATGTTCTCGATCCAATAATCTGCCGATTCAGACCCCCACCATAGGGAAGATTCCACCCCCCTAATTCCATCAAAGCGGAAAGCAGATTTCATTCTAGCTTCCACTTCCTCCAAATGTCTCCTTCTCGTATTCCCAGCCCGCATAACTTTCCATCCAGGACCATTCGACCCTCCAAATGACAAACGGTCCAGCTTTCTACCAAACCGAAATAGATACTGTATTTCCCCTTCGAACTCCACTTCAAGGATATGTGTTAAAGCACGATCATCATCATTCGATATTCCAGCGTTTCTACCTCGCATAAGACAGAATGGAAGAAGGTCAATCATTCCGGGTCTCGTGGCATTGTTTACAGTCACCCACTCATACCAGATCCTTGACTCGTGATCCATGTTTTCTGAAATATTACGAGGCATGACCAAAGTTCTTCTATCAGCATTGATTGATATGCGATACATATCCGGAACCATACCGCCTCGTAGCAAATCGAATATCTCCGGTCTCGAACTGCGGATGAGCAACGTATTCAAACTGGTCTTCAAGTGAACCATGCTTAGAAGTCCCCACTGTGTCTCTGTCTCTCTCCGATTGCTTTTTGTCCCCAACATCTTATATGGTATATTTTGCGCGAGTCATATATTGGAGAAAAAAAAAGGGGGCCACATTAACCTATTCCTCTCGACCACTCGTGCCTCCAACCCTGTCGTCTGCACTTCCTCTCACGCCTTCCCTCTCACACCCAGCAAATCCTAAGTATGACTACTAGTAGTATTAGAGTCCTTGTAAAAAAAAGGTTCCCAGTATCACCCTTCGAATGACTAACTCAAGAGCTCTGATCTAGCGCACGACCCAGCACTCTAAGCTTCGAAGACACCAAATATTCCCTGGTAGTACCTTTCCGACCGTCCATCCGTCCGACCGTCCGACCGACCTTCCTCGGCGTGCTGTTAGAAGCTCAACCTTCACCTATTGCCTCTGCCTTCACCCCGGAGTTAGGCCTCGAACGCCTTCGCTCGAATTCCTTACTGGAACATTTCCATCGTCACTTCCTCGAGAGCTTCGCGTTCGACAGGCGTGTCGGGAACCTCGACCTGCTCGTTCATAGCAGGGGAGTCAGGGGTGCTTCTGAACATGCTGGCGCCGAACTTCTTGTACAAGATGC